GTGTGTGTGTGTGTGTGTGTGTGTGTGTGTGTGTGTGTGTGTGTAGGAAGCTACCTAATCCTTCAATTGAGTCCTGTCAAATATATCTAATGACCGCTGGCTGACGGGCCCACCCCTCCCAAAGAGGTCACTGGAAATAAAATTTCTTTCTTACTTACTTTCTTTTTCTTTTTTGGAGGAGAGTAGTTGGGGGTGGGTAATAAAAGTTCCAGTGCATATAAAGATCACCCAGTTCAATTTGGGCCCAGGAATCCAATGGCTCTCCCTCTCTTACAATGTCCTTCCCTGAGGCACTCCCAACCTGTACATGACACAATTACCTCCCTATTCATTCAAGTCTTATTTTAATAGTTTTATTCTGCTGTTTGTATGTCTAGCATATGCTCATCGAAGTCACTATGTGTCTCAAGACTATAAACTCCTTGAGGGACTTGGTCTGTGTAGGTCTCCATGACGTTCAACACACACTTTGGGATGATGATGAAGGAGGAGGAAATCAGACTGCCTTTTCTTTTAATTTCCTGGAAAAACTGCTACTTCTTGACTACCTCTATCATCAAATCAGACCCAGGTCCTACAGGAGTGTGTATATTGGCTCCTGACCAACTTCAACATTGAGTTGATCCTAAGAGTCATATTGTTGATACCAATGCCCAGATTTGACCAAGAGTACAAACAAATCCCTGAGGGCATCAGAACAAATACACTGATCTGGTGGCCATCCCACCAGACATCTGCCCAGGAACAGGACCGCATCTTTAGATCGATTCTGATTGTGGGTTTTGTACACAATTTAATTCTGATTCAATTTGTATTTTCTAAGTGATTACTGATAGACTACGCTGTGGGGGCTTTGAAGGAAGGAAATGACAGGGTCTGCCCTCAGAGAGCTCATAGCTTGGCTAGGGAAATGAGATTCGTGTAGGTGAACATTTAGAGAAAAGGACAAAACAGTGTAACATTTGGTGATCCTATGTAAAATGACTATAAAACCTGGTAGGGAAAGATGGTGCCTCTAAGTAGGGAGCCCTGCAAGACAGTATCCTTTACCTCCACTGAAGTGCTGCTTGGAGCCGTGCTCACCATCACATGTCTGCTGTACTGTTTGAACTGCTGGAGCCCATCCTGCACCGCCAGATTCAGACAAGATCTCTGTTGGCAAATCCCTTCTCTTGGCACCAGGCGCAACTCAGAGATGCAGGTCTGCAGCCGGACAAAGTTCCCTTTTACCTGCTGCAGAATGGGAATAAAAGTTATAAACCATGACTACCTGATCAAGTACAAGCAGCCCTTTTCAAAACAGGGCCAGCCATGTCTGATCTTAATTTTCATTATGACCCACACACCTGGCCAGGATGGGATCACCCACTACTGTCCCAGAAAGCAAGTCTAACAGTCAGCACAGCCTCATTGGTCAGGGTTATCAAGAACAGAAAAACCAATGCATTCTCTAGTCCTCTGTCTCCACTGATAACTTAGAGCAGCTGAATTATGACTGCGTAGTATCCATCCAAAGAGATCTGGCTGACTTGCAGGGTCATCCCATCAAAGTGTTTTTCTTTGTTTCTTCTCAGGCTGAACACTGACTCTCTCACTTACCTTCCCTTAGGTGTTTTCCTGGAAAAAGGAGATTTTTTTCACTTCCAATTCTAACAATGAGGCTGTTTATTTGAGTTCACAGTGTTCTATCTGTCCCATTCACAATCATCAAGGCAGGGAAGTAGGTAGGGATGTTTATTCTATTATACAGTCACACTCAGGAAGACAACCAAGCCTTACATACAATACTTTCAGAGACTATTCTCTTCTTAGTCCTTCCCTTATCCAAAACCTCCTCTCAGAAAGGGATCTGATATGTCATTCACATAAGTATGAATTTAACTGAATGTCTTTACTCTCCAAAGGGACATAATTCATTTTTATATAGCACATTCAGATTTACAAAGTGCTTTCCTAACTAGCATCCTATGAGGTGCAGTATAAATATTGCCCCATTTTACAGATAAGGAAACTGAGGCATAAGCAGTGACTTTCTCAATGTCATTTGGCTACTAAGTGCTAAAGACAGAATCTAAACCTAGGTCTTCTGATTTTTTTTTCCACTACACACTACACTGATTTTCTCATTTTAAAAGTGAACTCTCATTGTGGAGAGAAAGATTCCATTAGAAAAATTCCAAGTATTAGCAACAGATGGGGAGGTAGGAAGGGGGAGCTGGCCAACACCATCCTAGGTTCTGAAATTAAATCATGTAAGTGGGTGCCTAGCCCATCTATGTGACCATCTGTATTTGATAGATATAGAAAAAAACACTGCTTTGCACAGAGTTGGTACTTAATAGATGGTTGGTAAATGAATGAAAGTATGACAGTTTTTGCAACAAAAAGCATACAGTCTTCTTGGACAGACAAGTCAAATAGACAAGAAATAAGCAAATTATAGGGCAGTGTAATGGTGATGTAATGGGAAAAGCACCAGAATTCGAGACAAAGGCCTAGGAAGAGCTGTGAGTTTTACTCCTTGCCATGTGGCAATGGACAAGTCTTTATTCTCTCTGGGGCTTGGTTTTTCTCTGTAAAATGAGGGAGTCGAACTAGATGATCTTTTAGGCCTCTTGCAGATTTACCAGCCATGTGCTCAATCATGGAGCAGACTAAACTTCAATACTTGACTTTTAAGGATTGGTGATTTCATTGCATGGGCATTCCCTCCAACCACACAAGCTTTCACCCTCCATAACTTAGGACATGGTCACTGACAGTTGCTACAGCTGAAAAATTCATCACCCTGTGGCCAACTCAGAGATGAACCTCTGCAAACTTCAGTTAGTTCTTGGGTAACAGTCTGCAAAGCATCCTGTACTCAAGGCCTTTCCAGCTTGGGAGGAACTGGCAAAACCTGGGCTGTGAACTAGGAGCACAACTGATACTATAACAACAATGCTGGAAAAAGGAACACTTTGAAAGACTTTAAGAACTCTAATCAATGCAATGGCCAACTGTAATTTTAGAAGACTGCTGATGAAGTATGCCACCCACCTCCTGACAAGAGAGGTAAGGGACTAAATGTGCAAAATGAGACACACTTTCAGACATGGCCAATGGGGGAATTTGTTTTGCCTTACCACGCATCTTTGTTAAAGGGGTTTTTCTTTTCAGTGGGTGAAGGAGGAGGGAGAGAGGAGGAGAGAAAGAAAATAAATGATTGTTAACTGGTAAAAGAAAACAAAATTTAACTAACAAAGCTTATTTTCTGATGGCACAGACTTAAAAAAACCCAGAGTCACTGCCACCCCATGATGAGGCATCAGAGTAGCACCCTACTAGACTCTAAACCTACCCTTCTCAATTTTCCTCTTTCCGTTGCTGATGCTATCATATTCCTAGTAACCAGGCTTGGGACCTTGATGTTATCTTTGACTTTTCCCTCTCCTTCACTTTCAATATTTAGTTATTTTCCAACTCACTTCTGTCAATTCCACCTGCACAGAATCCCTTGTGTTTGTCTCCTCTCCAAACACAGAACTACCACTTTACTTCAAGCTGTCACTGCCTCTTCCCTGGACTACTTTGAAAGTCTCCTGACTGGTCTTCCTGCCTCCAGCCTCACCCCTCTCTAATCTGATCTTCACATAGGGAGCTCCCATAATAATATCTCTATAGCAGGAGATGTAGATATTTGTGTTATGGACCAAGAAATGGCTACAGAGTCAGGGAGGTCTGGCTTCAAGCCTTGCCTCCACCACATTAGCTGGGTGACCCTGATCATATCACTTAAGTTCTCAGTGTCTGAAGCAATCTCTAAGACTATAAGTACAGGGCAGCTGCTGACCTGCACTGATAAAGGGAGTTTCTTTTATCTGTGAAACCACAGGTCTGCAGTGCAATCCACACTTTTGATTATGCCATTTGTCCATTAAAAAACTTCCAATGGTTCCCTATCGCTGACAGGGAAAAATACAAACTCCTTAACCTAGTATTTAAAGTCCTTCATAATCTGGCCTCAACCTACTTGTCTAATTATACTCTACTTTGTATTATGGTTACCGGTGTAGAAGGACTAGAGGGAAGAGACTGGAATCTTTCTTTCTTTGTTAGCACATTTTGCTTTGACACAGAAAACAAGCCCCACCAAAACTCACTACTCAGCAAATCTTAACTCTTGTATTTCAGTTTCTTTGCAGCTTTGGTCATTCCATCAGGAATGCTTAGAAATCCTCCATTTCATTAAAGATTCTTCCCCCCCCCCCCCCCCCCCCCCGCCCTGGGAGGATTATATGCAGTTGTGATAGGTATTAGTCTTGGTTTTAAGTCTATATCTTTGGCTTCTGGAATATCAAAGTCCAAGCTCTCTGTTCCTTTTTAGTGATACTGCTAAGCTGTGTCTGATCCTGACTGTGGCTTCTTAGTACTTAAAATTCTTTCTTTCTGGTCACTTGCAGTATTTTTTCTTTGACCTGGAGGCTCTGGATTTTGTTTGTATCATTTCTAGGAGTTTTCATTTTGGGGTTTCTTTCATAAGGTGATAAACAGATTCTTTTCTATTTCTCTTTTGCCTTTTGGTTCTAAGAGATCTGGATAGTATTCTTTTATGATTTCTTGAAATATGATTACTAAGCTCTTTTTTTGGGTTTTCAGGTATCTTTCAGATAGACCAAATATCTCTCCTCAATCTATTTCTCAGGTCAGTTGTTTTTTCTAACAGACACTTTATGTTTTCTTCTATTTTTTTTTCAGTCTTTTGACTTGATTTTAATATTTCTTGTTTCATGGAGTCATTAACTTCTGGCCCTTGCTATTAATTTTCTTTCCAATTCTTTCCCCCTAGCTCTCATTTCTTTTGCATTTTTTTCCCCTCTAGTACTCTCATTTGATTTTTAGAATAACTTTTAATTAAAACAAAACAAAACAAAACAAAACTCTCGCTTCATCTCTTACAGCAATTCTAGTTGAACTTGTGCCCAAGCTGTGTTTTTATTTGAGGCTTTGTCTGTTGATATTTTGGAATCATTCTTTTCTTCTATATTTGTGTCTTGAGTGTCCCTGTCACCATAATACCTTTTTGTAGTGGGATTCTCTTTCTGTTTATTCTTTCTTTCAGCCTGCTTCCCAACTTTGGACTTGATGCTAGGGCCAGGTTCTGTGTACTTTCTGGGGGGAATACCTAGACTGGTCATCCCACTGCTTTCTTGGGGGTATTAAGTGCTATGCTATTCCAGGATCTCAGGACAGCTCATGCTGGGGACCTAAAAGCTTACAGTGCTCCCAAAATGATCTAATCCAGGACAAAGTCTGATTGATAACACCCTTGTCTGAGTTCTGCAAGTTCCTGATCTGGGCTTGTGTCTAAGCAGCACACCTGTTGACTTGTTGGAGTTCCAATAGACTACTGTTAGAATCAGCCACTGTCAGCCAGCTGGAAAGCTCTGCTGGTTCAGAGTAACAGAACTGCAAAGCTGTCTTTTGGTCTAAGCGCCCTACCTGGTTAGAGTGGAAGCTGGAACTGAGACTCCTGTTCTGCTTTGTTCCCAGGTTTGGATCCATCCATCTAATGCTTGTTTCTAAGCCTGCTCCCTGCTCAGAATATAGTATGGGACTCCTCATCCTAGACTGCTACCACTAGGCATAGGTCTTCTCAGTCCACCCTGAATGTGTGACCTAGAATTGAGTAGTGAGTATTGGAGCTGTCAGTTGGCACCTGTTCCTGCACTGTGTACAAGTCCAGGCCCCTCTGTATAGCTCTGGGACCTCTTCCTGCCCTGGTGCACAGCCTTGTTCCTCTTTCAGGCCCTGTGCTGAAATGCTCTGAGCAGCTGTTTTTGACTAGATTCAGTTAGACCACAGACGACAATATCGCCTTATGCTCATTTAGGCTGGAAAAATGACTCACTGTGACTTTTTCTTGGATTTCCCAATAAGGATTCAATCTGGTGCCTTTTCAAGATCTTTATGGGGGACTTGTGGGGCTGTATTTCTTTCTATTATTCTTCCATCTTGGCACTCCCTCTCTCAATAACTCACAAAGCACAATCCTCCCAAACAATTAAATAAGACAACATAAACACTATTACTACTAACATGAAATCTACTGTATGCTTTGGTAGTTTATCAGTTGTTAAAACAAAGGAGGGGTGTGTGTTTTAACTTTAATGTTGTTCATTATATCTGATGAACATTTTTGCTGTTTATAGCTGTCAGAACCTCAATTTCTATTCACTCTCCAAATCTGCTTT